TTTGTCTTACCTGAGAAAAATAATTACCACTAATATTCACACATGAGTAAAGCCTTGGGAAGTGGGTAAGAGAACCCAGTGACAGTGAGCAGTCATCACCCACACCAACTCTCACTCATACCCACACCAACACATACCCATACCAACTCTCACACCCACACCAACTCACACCCATACCAACTCTCACACCCACACCAACACTCACCTATACCAACTCTCACTCATACCAACTCACACCCACACCAACTCACACCCATACCAACTCTCGCCCACACCAACTCTCACTCATACCCTCATACCCACACCAACTCACACCCATACCAACTCTCACAACCACACCAACACTCACCTATACCAACTCTCACGCACACACCAACTCATACCCACACCAACTCACACCCACACACCAACTCACACCCACACACCAACTCACACCCACACCAACTCTCACCCATACCAACTCTCACTTATACCAACTCACCCACACCAACTCACACCCATATCAACTCTCACACTCACACCAACACTCACCTATACCAACTCTCACTCATACCAACTCACACCCACACCAACTCACACCCATACCAACTCTCACCCACAACAACTCACACCAACTCACACCCATACCAACTTACACCCACACCAACTCTCACACACACACCAACTCTCACCCACACCAACTCACACCCACACCAACTCTCACCCATACCAACTCTCACTCACACCAACTCACACCAACTCACACCCACACCAACTCACACCCATACCAACTCCCATAACAACTCTCAGCCACACACCAACTCACACCCACACCAACTCTCCTTTGTGCTTTCAAGTAGACTGTGTCCATAGGTCTCTAGCCGTAAGGTCTTCCTGACAGGGAATTCTTTTCAGCCATGCGGTTGGTAGGGAGGGTGTCACGCATAATCTACAAAGTCACTCATATAAAATTAACTTAATTTTCATAATTCACAACACATTTGTGCATGTGTGTGTGTGCCCACATGTAACTTGCATTTTGTGAGGCTTGTGCTAACACACTCCCTGTCCACCCAATCTGTTCTGGTGCATAGTGTCCCTCTACGTCTCTGCTCCCTGGGGTTGCCAAGGCTGCAAATCTTTACAGGAACAGAAAGCCTCATCTTTCTCCCACAGAATGGTGGTGGTTTTGAACTGCTGACCATGTGGTTAGCAGCCCAGTACATAACCCACTACACCCACCAGAGCTCCCTTTGGCTAAGCCAGTCCCTCTCATATATACTCGTGTATAAGCCAAGTTTTTCAGCACATTTTTTAATGCAGTTTTTGTGGTAAAATTAGGTGCCTCGGCTGATATTCGGGTCGGCTAATATTCGAGTATATGCAGCATATTGCAGCATCAGCAACACCTGAATTTGTACGAAATGCAAATTCTTACCTTCCATCACAGACCTGCTGAATCAGAAATTCTGGGAGTGGGGCCCAGCGATCTGCTTTAACAAGTCTGCCCCCCCCCCCCATTTGACACATTAAACGTTCAGAAAAACTGTGCTAGAATATGCTTGGCCTAATTTGCAGTCTACAAATAAGCAAGAATCCAAGTTCTCTCAATACCTTTATGTAATAAAATGCAGATGGCAACAGTTTGTGATCTGATGAACCTTTCATGACAGTTCTCTGAATAGTCTTGTGCATCGGTGACTTTCTCCACACCGAATTATACGTATACATATTGTCTTCTGCATGTTATTCTCCACTTTGGGCTATAGTAGTCAAGTTCAATACTGTAAATTGCAAACTGTCCAGCTGTAAGAATGCTGGTAGTTTTAAGAATAGAAGTAGTTGTGTTTGTGACCACCCTTTCTGATCCAGCGGGTCCTGTGTGTGTGTTGAAATTTTCTGACGTCTGTTGAGCCAGAAGCTTAGAGCATAGCCTCTTCTGTCGCAGTCTTAGCTCTTCGTGCTGCTGCAACAGAGCTACCACGAGGTTTTCAAAAGACTCACTGCCTTGAGTCAGTGCCAGCCCATACCTCTCCCGTCCTACAGGGCGGAGTAGAAGTGCCCAGGTGCGTTCCCAAGACTGTGATGCTTGACAGGAGTCGAAAGCCCTGTCTGTCTTCCAAGGAGCAGCCCCAACTCAGGTGCCATCTCTACAGGAGACTCTGGGCCCACTTTTGGGGGACATCCTTGTCTCAGCTTTTCTACTTTCTTCTGGGCATTTCCTGGAGATCTCCATGTGGCATCTCTCTTCTCCTCCATGTGAGCTGGCTTTTCTGTACCTAAACCTGATGATTTTCTATCTCAAAATGGGAACTAAAACACTGATCATGCCTCCTTCACAGAACAAAGACAACTCGATTCCGAAATGACATGATGCCCTTAGGTGTAGACAGACAACTCACTACCCACTAGTCCGTTCCAACTCATAGGACATTGAACTGCCCCCGTGGGCTTCCAAGACTGCAGCACTCGGTGGGGTAAAAGCTTAGTTTTTCTCCTGTGGAGCAGCTGGTGTTTTCCACCAGGGCTGCCGGCTCCTTAGGTATAGGGGTCAGGGCTCCAAAACAAACTTTTAGAGGACACGACTCAATCCATATCTCCCACCAAGGATTTTTTAGCCATATGGCCTTGCTAAGATATATAATAAAGCTATATATATGTATATATATAGTTTATAACTATAAACTATATATAACTCTATATAGAGAGTTATAAACTATATGTATAGTTTATAACTATATATACACACATATGTGTGTGTATATATAGTTTTATTATATCTAAGCAAGGCCATATGGCTAAAAAATCCTTGGTGGGAGATATCTCAAAGATCGCTGCCACTGAGTCGGTGCCGACCCTGTAGGAAAGGGTAGACGCCCTGTGCGTTTCCAAGACTGCAACTCTTGACGCAAGTAGAAAGCCCAGGCTTTCTTCAGACAGATATGTAGTAGCGATATTCAAGCCTCGTGGGTTGGCTAGATTAGTAGTCATGGTCAGGAAGCGATTAGAAGCTACAGATAGAATTTTGCAAGAACCGGACTTGGTCATCAAAGCCAATCTAGGAAGCTTTCAGCTTCTGCTAGGTCTAAAGGTTAAGTCAGGCACTGTCGTATTTTAATTGTATGCCTCTTCCCAAGAAGATTATATCCTAGTTAAAGGCATAGATAATGTCTAGGCACTTAACAAACACTTGCAAAATATAATTTGCTAAATCTGAGAGTTTTAAATTCTGGCCCTACCTCTAAACCACTATGAGCGAATGTAATGAAGCTCTGATTTCCTTATCTGTAAACTGGAGTGGGTGCCTTTGCTCTGCCTACTGCCAGGGTTCTTATAAGATCCCAAAGAGAATATATATGAAGTGCTCATAAACACTCTAGGCAGGTCTGTAAGTGGGAAGCAGCATAATAATTTTTTCCCGAATGTTCTCTCTGTTAGAGTAACAACTTGTTCATTCTGATTTGTAAGGGGAGTACAGTAGCGTATACGGGGTAAGAAACCAAGAAATGCTGTCTCCAGCTAGTCCTTATCTCCTTTAAATTTTGGGGGCCTTATTTTTCTACGTATCAAGAGAGGAAGTCTGAATGAAGTGGATGCTGCAGTGCTCAACCTCGACTATGCACGTTAGGATCACCTGATCCTGAGACGATAACCATGCCTGGAAGCCAACCCCACAAATAGGATTTAATCAGACTGGGAAATAAGCTGGACTTCAGTTTTGGTTTTAAACTCCTCATGTGCCGCTAAAGTCTTGTTTCGTTTTAAGTCTGCCAAGCCATTCGCTCAGATAAAATCTTACATGAAAGTCCAGATTACAAATAAATATTAGCAGAGCTTCTGCATTAGCTTTTTTGGACTTGCAGCTCCAGCTGCCAATCGCATCTCTCATTTCCCACTGTAAACCTCCTAAGGCCCATAGAGCCATGTGAGAAAACCACTCAAATAGATTAGATGGGCTTCTAAGAGCTTCCTCTGCTCCAATACAATGGTATGACATGACACCTTTCACAGTCCCTTCCTATGTTTTTGTTAACACCAATTACAGCCTAATTATTATCGAAGCTAGCTTTCCCTTTGTATCTTTCTGATTACCCTAGCTCTTGGGCCCCAAGACAATGAGTAGCCTAAAATTTAGTGTGACTAAGAACTTATTGGGTTACTCGTTGACATCCCTCCCCCAGAGTCTAAGCAAGCATTGGGAGCAAATCAAACTAAAACAAAACCAAAAAAAACCACCGTCGTCGAGTGAATTCTGATTCATAGCAACCCTATTGGACAGAGTAGAACTGCCGGTTTGCCTTTCTGAGACGATAAATCTTTACAGGAGCAGAAAATCTCATCTTTCTCCCATGGATTGAACTGTCCAGCACTTAACCCATTGTGCCACCAGGGGTCCTAGTATAGGGGCCAGGTATCTCTATTGTCCACTAGGACTCTCAAGTCTTTTAAACAAGTAGTCCACTTTTGAGAAGTACTATGCTAGGAGATAGTGCGTAATAAGTAAAGAACTAGGGGTTATGGAAATATGGGGGCATGAGCGAATGGTGAATTGCCACTTGAGCTCAGTGCCACTTCCACCCAAGAGGAACCTCTGGGCATTTACAGATTAGAATGATGCTCCATCTGATCCTTTCATTGGACCACAGTTCTCAGTTACGGGTCTGGAAACTCACTTCAGGAACATCTCTTTCTCTGTGGCCAGCCCTGTATGACAATAGAGATGATATAGAATAGTGGTAGGGATCGGAGACGCCAACAGGACTCATATCCTGATTCTATCACAGTCTGATTAGTATATGATCTTGAGCAAGTCACCTAACCTTCTTGAACCTCTGGGTTTTCATTTGTCACAAAGAGAGAGAGCATTACCTCCTTCTAGGCCCAGGCTTGAGTGAAAAATAAAAGATAAGGTATGTAAAGCACTCAGAAAATGATAAAGCACAGAGTAAATTTGGCTAAGTGGTAGTTATTATAGTAGCAGAGCCTACCTGATAAGGAGCTTTTGTTTCATTCTTAGGTGGTGTTTCTGAGATGAAATACATGAAGCCTTTTCTTTCAGGTAAGTACTCAGCCCCTACCTGCTGGAGTAACCAACGCTCAGCAGTCAGTCGTGGTATTTGCTTAGTACTGCACTGTGTCATGCTCCACCCACAAAGCCAGCCAAGTGAGCTCTTGTGCACGCCTTAAACGATTGAACTGAAGCGCATGGAGAAGCTGCCTGCAATTTTGGATTTCCAAGAAAGTTTTCAGTGTGAAATTCAGATTTGATTTCTCTCTCAGCTGACCGCAGACTCTATTTGCTGCAAAGGTAGGTGGAAAATAAAGTATAGAGTTGAGCTTGAGGTTCGTCCGGGAAAGCCCTTGCCTACACCATCGATGAGATTCATTCACACTTAGGAGTAATGCTGAGTGTTTTTAGAGAGCACCAGGAGGAATGTTCTCCTTACAGATTTGAGGCAGACAGGTAAGTGATTTAATTTTGAAGTGTTTAAAACAAAAAACCAAAGATCTCTTAAAAGCTAATGGTGAGAGAATGGTTCTCATCTCTGAGCTTTCCAGGGGGACATAGGCATAGTCCAAAAGAGACTGGGTTTACTGATTGAATTACTATGGAAGTTTCAATGAAAGGAATTACGGTTTCAGTATTCCGCTTCTTCTGCCACTTCCCCTCTCCCTTTCCATATGAGCTTAAACTATCAAAAGGATCTTGTTTGCCCTATAGCAAACCCCACCTTTTGTGACCACTGTGGGTCGTTGCTGTATGGACTCATCCACCAAGGCATGAAATGTGACACCTGCGACATGAACGTCCACAAGCAGTGTGTGATCAACGTGCCCAGCCTGTGTGGGATGGACCACACGGAGAAGAGAGGGCGCATCTACCTGAAGGCTGAGGTCACCGATGAGAAACT